AAATACCAAAGCAAAAATTTAATCTGTTTTCTCTATCAATAATGAAATAGCTCAGAACAATTTACTAATAACAGGGAAATATGTGTGAATATTAGGAATTCAAGTCATTGATAATTCTATATCACCACAAGATGGAGTAAGAGCTCAACACACACACACACGCTCCCACTTCTACAACTCTGACTTATTCTATTCTGCCATCTAGTGGTTATATAATTAGGCATTCTTCTACTGAATCTGTCTCCCACGCAAGAACAGACACAAGGAATTAGCTGGGGGAAAGACTGAGCACATAAAGGAGCATGGTAACACCATAGCATCACAGCAAGATGCAAAGAAAATGCCAGTTTCGGCTGCCAAAACAAGTTCAGAACAAGCCAAATAACATCTACCCCAGACATGGTGGTCCAGTGATCATCCTAGTACTCGGAGGTAGAAGAGGAAGCTCAGGACTTCAAGGACATCTTTAGCTACACAATTTGCTGGGATGACAGGTGTGGGCCTCATGCTTGTCCCAGGGAAGGAAAGGGATAGGATCTCAAGGGACTTGAATTGTGGCTCTGATCACTTCGATTTATAGTCAGTTTATAGTATTTTCATCCAGCACCAATGCCTTTATTTGCTGGAGCTTTACGTTTAGAATTAAGGGGACATAATTTTAACTGTTATCAAAACTACTCAAATGTAAAACTAGACAGGGGTTAACATTCTTGGTAAGTAAGATGTCGGATAAATTAATCAAAGTAGGTAATCATTCCCCTAAAAAAGAAGAGGACACAGTCAAGCAGTCTACAAACAATATAATTCATAGGCAATACAATTTATCACTCAGACTTCTGCAAGTTGTCCTCTGACCTCCGCATATTTACTGCAGCATGTTTCCCCCAAAAGTGTAAAATGTGTCAACAAGATTAAAACAATCAATTCTCTCCCCAGTTTAATGAGAATAACAATTTGTAAGTGGTGCTTACAAAGATAGAAAGAAGCTCATACTGGCACCAAGAATGTGTATGTTGACACTGAATGTAAACCTCTGGAGGTATATTCTAAGCAATAACTCCAAACTTATACACATAGATCGGTGCATAAAGGTACTATAAATTAACTGCATGTCTATAAAAGCCAAGCCTGGCCACAGAAGAGTTCAACAATTGACAAACAGTTAAATAAAATGTGTGAACAATATATTGGGACACTGTGTAATTAGTGAAGATTACTGTACAAAAATAGGAAAATCATTAGAAGCCAACTTCTCTGAGTAAAAACCAGCAGGTTATAATTACATATGTATAACATAATACCAATTTTGTTTTTTATTATTTTTTAAAAAGTTGCTTTACTTTATTTTTTGAGCTTTCCTGAATTTCTCAAAGTACATGTATACACAAAATAATATAAAATATGCATTATACACCGGCTGCACTGTTATAGATAATACATCGTTTCCTGAACAAATTTACTGGCTCAGAAACCCCCGTGCAGAACAGAACAGCATCCTCTTGAGTCTACAAGGCCACGGCTTGTTTTGTACCCTCCTATAACATAGGTGAGTGAAAATGCTGTTTTGAAGACTCAAAGTTGCTTTCTAAAGTTGAAACTTCAAAATTGCCTTTGTAGTAAACATAAATTGCATGTTATTATCTACGCATGACAACCTAATGAAAACGTATTTCTGACCAACAGCCTTTTCTCAAAAGATGCTATTATTTCTGTCTTTTTCCTTCCTTTCTTCTTTGTTTCTCCCCCTTCCTTCTCTCACTTCCCCCTTTTCTGGTAGGGATGCAGTCCAGGCCTCACAGTGCCAAGCACGCATTTGACCCCAGCTAAATCACCACCCCTGTGTGTGTTAGACCCTCCCCCCCCCCACTTCCCGCCTTGCAGTGGTGAGGACTGAGGCCTTGTAAATGCTTGGTAAGTGCTCTACCACTAAGTCACATCCTCAGAAGTATCTTCACATTTAACTTAGGAGAACAAGATAAAATATCCAGTCTGCTTAAAGAAAATAATAAATGCAGTAAATTGAAACTAGCTGTTTCTGCCAGTGCAATAGAGTACTTGTGAATCATACTACAGTACAAAGGAACCTAGGAACTTTATAACTAGAACTTCATTAATAATAAAACACGATGACAATGCAATCCCCATCAAAATCCCAACACAATTCTTCACAGACCTGGAAAGAACAATACTCAACTTCATGTGAATAAACAAAAATCCTAGGATAGCTAAAAGAATTCTGTAAAATAAAGCAACCTCTGGAGGCATCATGATCCCAGACCTCAAGTTCTACTATAGTAAAAAAAAAAGAAGAAGAAAAAAAAAACTTGGTACTGGCACAAAAACCCACAAGTGGACCAATGGAATTGAATTGAAGAACCTGACATTAACCCACACACCTATAAACACATGATTTTTGACAAAGAAGCCAAAACTGTACAATGGAAAAAAGAAAGCATCTTCAACAAATGGTGCTGGCATAACTGGATGTCAACATGTAGAAGAATGCAAATAGATCCAGATCTGTCACCGTGCACAAAACTTAAGTCCAAGTAGATCAAAGACCTCAACATAAATCCAGTTACTCTGAACCTGATAGAAGAGAAAGTAGGAAGTAGTCTTGAACGCATTGGCACAGGAGACCACTTCCTAAATATAATACCAGTAGCACAGACACTGAGAGCAACAATTAATAAATGGGACCTCTTGAAACTGAGAAGCTTTTGTAAGGCAAAGGACATGGTCAATAAGACAAAACAACAGCCTACAGAATGGGAAAAGACCTTCACCAACCCCACATCTGACAGAGGGCTGATCTCCAAAATATATATAAAGAATTCAAAAAACTAGACATCAAAATATCAAACAATCCAATTTCAAAATGGGCTACAGAGCTAAACAGAGAATTCTCAACAAAAGAATCTCAAATGGTCAAAAGACATTTAAAGAATTGCTCAACATCCTTAGTCATCAGGGAAATGCAAATCAAAATTACTCTGAGATAACCATCTTACACCTGTCAGAATGGCTATGATCAAAAATACTGATAACAGCTTTTGTTGGAGAGGATGTGGAGCAAGGGGAATATTTCTCCACTATTAGTGGGAGTGCAAACTTGTACATCCACTTTGGAAATAAGTATGGCAAATTCTCAGAAAATTGGGAATCAATCTACCTCAAGACCCAGCTATACCACTCTTGGGCATATACCCAAAGAATGCTCAATCATACCACAAGGTCACATGCTCAACTATGTTCATATCAGCATTATTTGTAATAGCCAGAACCTAGAAACAACCTAGATACCACTCAACTAAAGAATGGATAAAGAAAATGTGGTACATACACAATGGAGTGTAGATGAGTTTCTAACCGGTCTTATCAAATAAGAAACACAGAGCCAAATACAGAGTTAAAGCCTAAGAGATCAGAGAAAGAGCCATGACTCCCTTTAGCTTACCACTCACTGTCATCCTTCCCCTGAGACAGAGACCTTCTTCCTGTGTGTCTTGAGTTTTATTGCTTTCCTGTTCTGCCTTCTCATTGGCTCTAAATCCAGCCACATGACTTCTTTGTCACTACCCGTCTATACAGACTTCCTGGTCTCTACGGTTGATACTGGGATTAAAGACTCAAGGGTCACCACACTTGGCTGTGTCCTTGACCACACAAAGACTCTGCCTGCCATGTGATCGGATTAAAGGTGTGGGCTACCACAACCTGACTTCTATTCCTGGCTCGCTAATGACCTCTGATCTCCAGGCAAACTTTACTTATTAACATACAAATAAAATCACATTTAAGCACAATTAAAATATTACCACAGTGGAGTACTGCTCAGCAGTAAAAATACAATGACATCATGAAATTTGCAGGCAAATGGATGGAACTAGAAAATATCATCCTGAGTGAGGTAACCTAGACTCAGAAGGACAAACATGGTATGTACTCACTCATAAGTGGATACTAAATGAAAGGCAAAGGATAACCAGACTACAACCCACAGTTCCAGAGAGGCTAGCTAACAAGGAGGACCCTAAGAGGGATGCATGGATCACCCTTGGAAGGAGAAATGGATGAGATCTCCATCAGTAGACTAGGGGTGAGGGGGGCAATGGAGGGTAGGGGATAGGGAATGAGAACATAAGGGAATAGGATGGTTGAGCTGGAACAGGGACAGAATGGGAGAGCAATGAAGAGATACCATGATAGAGAGAGACAGCATGGGGATAAGGAGAAACTGGGTGCTAGGAAAGTTCCCAGAAATCCACAAGGATGACCCCACCTTAGACTACTAGCAATAGTGGAGAGGGTGCCTGAACTAGCCTACCCTAGTAATCAGATCGGTGAATACCCTAACTGTATTAATAGAACCTTCACCCAGTAACTGATGGAAGCAGATGCAGAGATCCACAGCCAAGCATCAGGCCAAGCGCCAGGAGTCCAGTCGAAGAGAACGAAGAGGGATTCTATAAGCAAGTGGCATCAAGATCATGATGAGGAAACATATAGAGACAACCAAACCAAACTAGTGGGAATTCATTAACTGTGGACCAAAAGCTGTGGAGCCTGCATGGGATTGGAGTAGGCCCTATTGATAGACAAGACAGTTATATAGCTTGATCTGCTTAACGGGCCCCCTGGTAGTGGGATTGGGATCCATCCATGGTGCATGAACTGGCTTTTTGGAGCCCACTGTCTATGGTGGGACATCTTACACAGCTTTGGTCCAGGGGGAGGGGCTTGGACCTGCATCAGCTGAGTATATCAGGCTCTGCTGACACCCCACAGGAGGTCTTGCCTTGGAGGAGGTGGGAATGGGGATTGGGATGGGGGGGAAGGCTAGGAGGTGGGAGGCGGGAGGGGAGGGGATCTGTGGTTGATATGTAAAATGAATAGAAAATTTCTTAATAAAAAAGAAAAAAAACATAATGACAATTGGTGCTAGTAGAATTTCATACTACAGCTTTGTAAATATAGCATAAATAAAATTTAAAAGTCAATTCAAATCATTCAAAATAATTTATTTTTTAAATTTCACAAAATAAAACTATTATTTACATCAGTTGCAATAGCACTAAGTATTAGAAATCAATTTGTTTCAACTCTTGAAAACAATTATGGGCATAAACAAAATTAAAAGAAACAACGAAATGCTCCTGTTAGGTGATGATTATATGACTGCTCTGACACACCCACTTGCAGATATAAACAGCAGACACATTCAAAACAAATTAATTTGTTTACACAAATATTCCAACAGAACCCAATTGTTTTCTGTCACATGTGCAAGTTTTTGTAGAAAAACAAAGGTCAATCTGTCTGAATCTATATACCCAACTTGTACCAATTCAGAAAGCTCCATATCAACATAGCACTGTAAAATCGGCAACATCCAAAGCCCACAGGCTTCACAACTATAGTCTGCTGTGCACTGTTTTGGAAAATAAAAATAAAAATAAAAAACAAAGAAAAAATTTCCTTCCAACTATGTATATACAAGAAAAAAATGTATCTTTCATATCCATTTCTGAACTTAAAACCTATACACATAATTCCTCCTTGCTTTTGACATGTTCAGATATGGACAGACAGTGGGACTATTTGACTCTTTAAGAGGTCTATAGAAGAGATGAATACAACATAGTGTATCTTCTGTAAGAAGGATGAGCTGAAATGTCAGCGATTCCTTGTGTGGGTGTGTTTAAATGTATTAAAGGAATTTTGTTCTTGTAAATAATGGCCTTCAAGAAAACCTGAGGGCATAGAGCATTACTACAGGATCTCCTAAGGTCAAAAAGACCTTGTTTGTGGAATCAGGGTAAACGTGTGGAATTTATCTTGCTAGAAAAATAGACAACCATTTTTCTTCCTTTTTGTTTTCTGATTATCACAATTAAACATGAGAAGATGCTAATGCTGATTTCCAGGACACACACTTTCGTGTGATCATCTACTTCCCTGGTCCTTCACCCACGGGGGACGAGGCAGCACTGTTCTGGTGTGAGTTGTCACTGGGCACCTGTGGCTTTCTCCTGCAGTTCACTGGTAGATGCAGGCTGAGCAGCACTTGGTGGTGTGGAAGAGTGAGGTGGGAGTCTATGGTGATTACTCTCCTCCCCAGAAGCAGATGAATGTCTTTTTCTTCCAAATTCCTCACTCATAGGGGGCTGCAAAGCATGAAAAGACACTTTCACTACTCCCCTCAGCGTCTAAGGCCAGACTTTCCAATCAGGGGATTCATATTGGTGCTTTGAGCAACTCACGGTGTTAAGTTTACATTTTCTTGGCAGACTGGGATTAGGTTGTTCAGTCAACATAAACTTGACTCACATTTGGGGAATAAGCACAGAGGGGGTTCCCTCTTTCCAAGAAGACACTTGGATGTGTTGCAATTCTAGGCCCTTCCTTTCCACTGAGCTCCCTATTGCGGGCTTCTCCAGTGTCTAGTGTTTAACAGCTGAATGGAACCAGAACAGGGAGGTAGGTGCCAAGCCAAACAGCCTCAAGCCAGTTTGACATTTCACCCAGTATTCCCATGCTAGAGGGACTAGATAGTATTATGGAGGATACTAAATTAAACACCTTCATACCCATTTAGACTGCAAGCAGGATGGGGGAGGGTGCTCTGTATTTAAATCAAGTGCATTGGAGTCTTTTTCAGTTATACAGTTATCGGTCCAACTGTATGTCTACCATTAGACTATCATTTTTGAATCTGAAAAACAAGTTAAAACAGTCATCTTCGGCTCTCTGTTGTACTTAGAACTGAGGGTCCCCATTTGTGGCTTACACTGAGGCAGAAATGACACCTTTTCTACTTCCAGCCCCACTCTCACCCCCTTTCTACCTTTCAAGTTATTTTCTTAGTTTAACCTTTTTCTTTTACACTTGAAATCAAAGCAATTAAAGTACCTACCAATTAACAGTCTTGCATTAATTTGCCAGGGATCTACCCAATCCAGAACTACACACACACACTAGACTCAGCCCTTATACTAACTTTATTATGAAGAAACTCTAAATGCATATCAGCACACACTCTAAAAAATTATATGGGTAAAAGCACATTAAAAAGTAGAAAGTTGCTGCCAGGCAGTAATGACCCACACCTTTAGTCCCAGTACTCAGGAGGCAGAGGCAGGTGGATCTCGAGTTCAAGGCCAGTCTGGTTGATAGAGCTAGTTCCAGGACAGCCAGGGCTACACAAGGAATCCCTATCTGGAGCATCCCACCCCTATGCCCCCCAAAAAGATATAAAGTTGTGGCTGGAGAGATGGGGCTGGAGAGTTAACAGCACTGGCAGTTATGGTAGAGGACCACAGTTGAGATTCCCAACAGTGATATCATCAGATGGATCACTCCAGCTCCAGTGAATCCAAAGCCCTCTCCTGGATTCTGTGGGTTGCCTCCATATATACATACACACATGCACAAATAGACTAATCTTTGAAAGAAAGGGTAAAATGTTTGGGTGAGGATACAGCTCAATGGTGAACTCTTGCTCAGCATATACCAGACCCTCAGTTCAATCTTTAGCATAGAAAACAATTTAAAGCTAAATCAGACAAAATTTAGTGAAAAGGTTTCACATCAGAAAAACCAGTGGCATCTCCTTAGTCTAGAAGCCATCAAAGTGTGGCTGCGTATCCAAATTCAAATGCACTGACAACTGTACCATTATGTAAGATGTTCACATTGGGAACTCTGGGTGTGTGTTCGTAAGTGTGCATGTGTCTGTGTACACATGCATGTGGAGACCAGAAGTTGATGTTGGACATCTTCCTCTGTCACTCTCCACCTGTCTTTGGAGACAGGGTCTCTCACTAACCCTGGAACTCATGAATTTGGATAGGCTGGCTGGCCATTGCGCAAACACCCTCTCCTCGGTGTCAGAGTTACAGATGCACACTCCACTGTGCTCGGCTTTCACATGGATGCTGCGGATAGCTGATGCAGGTTTAACAAGTACTTTACCAAACGAGCTATCCCCAGCCCCTAAATCTGAAAATCTAAACGAAGAAAATAATGGTAATTTTCTTATCTATTTTTGAACCTGCTTTCAAAGTTTGATGTCAAAAGCAGAAAGTTAAAATTTCAAAATTAAAAACCAAAAAATTTAAGATTAATACTATAAAAATTTGTTAAGTTAGAAAGTTATACAGGTGATAAAAACAATAGGGGAAAGAAATTAAAACTTACATCAATACGGAAGTCTTCTAACTTCTTAAAACTACAGAGGTATTCCTGAAGTTTTGGGTCAACAGACTGTGTCTTAGATTGAGAATATTTCAAATAGGCCCAAAATTTTTCCAGTCCATATAGATGGCCTTAAAAACAAAAGAATATGCCGGGCGTTGGTGGCGCACGCCTTTAATCCCAGCACTCGGGAGGCAGAGGCAGGCGGATCTCTGTGAGTTCGAGGCCAGCCTGGGCTACCAAGTGAGCTCCAGGAAAGGCGCAAAAGCTACACAGAGAAACCCTGTCTCAAAAAAAAAAAAAAAAAAAACAACAACAAAAGAATATATTATATGGAACTAACAAATCTATCCTGCATATGATCCCATCAGTAGTAAACGATCTGCAGCCCAATAAGACACACAATAAATTAGCAATGGTGGCAGCTAATATTCACTGATCATTTGCTATATAACAGGTATTATTTAAGTTTTTTTTATCACAGATCAAAATAATCTGAACCACACATAACTGGCCTGGTGAGATGGTTCCTCTTGTCTATATTATGGATGGGAACATGGGAGCTGGCAAGGTGAAGGAATTGGCCTAAGTCACATGGCTACTGAGCAAGGGAAGGGGACTCAGACCTAGGTATCTGGACCACAGCCTATACTCCTCACAGTATAATTTTGCCTTGCCAAGCATACCCAATTATGCTCATGAGAAGGAACGCCAGTGAGCAGCCATTTTTATCAAGAAGTTAATGTTGACATATACCTCCATAAGGTAAAAAGCACCTCATAGCCTAGGTGTAGTAGCCCACACCTTTAACCCCAGCACTCAGGAGGCAGAGGCAGGCAGATCTCTGTGAGTTTGAGTCCAGCCTGGTCTACAGAGCAAGTTTCAGGGCAGCCAGAACTGCTACACAGAGAAACCCTGTCTCAAAAAACCAAAATCCAAACCAAAAACAACCAACCAAACAACCAAACAACCAACCAACCAAACAAACAAACAAACAAACAAAAAGCCTCATAGAAGGAGCCTTCTCATCAAGAACTGCAATAGTGGGAAGGATCTTAAATTATACATCCTGAAGATAAATTCTACAAGTTCTTTCTTCTTTATTGAAGCTACATCTGCGTTTGTGTGTGCGCTCACACACACATGTGCAAGTGGGTGCTGGCCAAGATGTTTTTAGAGCAGATTCCTTCCGTTCACTATGGGTCACAGGTCTGACAGCAATGTCTTTCCCACTGAGGCATCCTGTCGGCCTCCCTTTCTAGTTATTGACAGCTCAAGTCTATAGTTTCCAAAGACAGTGTTTGTTTTTACCAGATTCGTAGTCTTTTTTGGTTTCTTCTTGAAAATCCTTAAAAATTTCTTGTCTGAATTTTTTTTCCAGTCCATAACTATAAAACCTGAAAAGACATTCTAACCCATACCTATGGAAAGGAAGAAAATGGTGTAAAGTTGTGGCTTTGCTAGAATCCTGCAGGTACTTCACAGTGATATTTTATACAAGCAAACACGGCACAAACCTCAGCGAGAGGTAAGTTCAGTGTGTTTCTTGTTTTTGTTTTCTAAGACAGTGTCTCTCTCATTACTCAAGGCTACCCTAGAACTCACAGTGTAGTTTTAGCTCGCCCTGAACTTGCCAGCCTTGTGCCTCAGCTTCATTAGTTCTTGGATGTACACAAATCTTAACAGACATGCTAATCTGTGCAGGGCAGTGTTAATTCCTAAGAACTGGTCAAAAGAGTCAGTGACATTGGAAATGGTTTAGATTTTTCTCAAAGCAAAGTTTAAATGGTGTACTCGTTTCTTGAATATAATCTTTTGTCTGAGAAGTCTACAATTTTGATTTCAACTATAATGGCATTAGCTTAATTAGCTGGCCCCTGACAGTTACAAAGTATACTCACAGCAGATCTGTCGAGAGAGGGCTATGTACTCACTTTATACATCAGAAAAGCATTTCCTTGTCTCTTCTTCTAACTTCCTAGACACCCTGGGACAAGGACTAAGGCATCTGCCTTGGAAGCTGCCCTTCTTTCTTAGGTCACTGCTCTGTGAGGAGCTACACTGAAAATACTCTCTATGAGGCCACTGGTGGCTAGGAAATGATACCCTGGCCAACAGCCAAGGGAAGGAGCCCAGGAAGGCCCGCTAGGGATGCCAGCCCCAGAACTATCCTGAGTGAAGTCCAATGAGGAACCTTGGGGTGGAGCTACCTGGCTAGATGGCTCCCATAGTTTTGCCCTTAGGAGTTAACAACTGATGTTTTCCTCTGAGTTTAGGGGTTGTTTACTGTGAGCAACAGAAAACAAATATCCTCATTCCAGTTATGTTGTGATTACTTTCAAAATCAGACTACTTGAAATTGTGGTTTTTTAAAAGAATATTAGAAAAAGCATTAGGAAACGTTTGACCTGTAATTCTCTTTTGCATCTTCCCAAGCAAGTTGTCTAAATTCCTCATACATTTTCCTATTGAAGTGGTCTCTGAGGAAGAAGGACCAGAAACGAAAGAGGGTGTTCATTTCCTGTGACTGTCCAATTCCCAAGCGTTTTCTCTCTGGAAAGAGATAATACCTCAAAATGAAAAAACCAAACAAAAACTAACTCTGAAACAGTAATTGAGATGTTTAATTGAGATGAGTAACTAGAGGACCAACAGTAAACCTTTAACACACTGTTCAAATTATAAATACTTGTCAACAGTACCAAGAATGTACTAAATTCACTTACTTATATGTTTAAGCTATAAAAAAACACAGGAAAATATAAACTAAAGGTATCTATTTATAAGTATATAAAATAAAAGGCTATCTTAGCAAGATATGAAGTGACAGTCAAGTTTTAGAATCTCCTCTAACATCCATGCAGCTGGACAAAGGACAGACACTTGCCGTTTAGACTGAGTTTCCCTATGATGTCAACACAGCTAGGCAAAGGACATGCCTCTTACCACTTAAACACCTTCGACGATACTTGTGGTACAATTGGTGGGTAAAGCCGTTCTCCTTCAGCAGTTCATGAGATGGATGCTGGAGCTTTGAGAATGAGTGAGGAGTGCAGCTGCAGCTTCCTGCAAGTGGCGCACCTTCCGAAGGGGAAGCAGCTGAACTGCTGTTTGAGGAGAGGAGAAAGTATCAGTGGTTCACCCCAAACCAGAGGGCTGGATTCTCATCACCAGAACTCATGTGAATGCCGGGTAAACGTGGCAGCTGCCTGCACTTCCAGATTCAGAAGGTGGAGACAGAAGATCGCTGGAGCGAGCTGCCTAGCAATATCAGCCATATCAGTGATTCTGGGTTTGACTCAGTGAGTCAGGTGGAGAGTAACTGAGGGATACTCTCCTGACATCAACTTCCATCCTCTCTGTGTCTGTGTACACACACCTGCACAGGTATATGTGCATATATGTGTACATGTGTGCATGTACACACTTGAAAGGAAGAAAAGGAAAGCCCCCAAAACATAAAGCAATGTGTGCATCTTATTTCATTACTGCCTGCCTGAGCAGTGTAAAGCCATTCTTAACTATTGATGCACACATCGACAGAAGATACACTATACAGATCCAATACAGCATCACTCAGAACAATGTCACAAATTCACTAAAACTCTAAAAAGAAAATTGAACAGCGCATTTACTCTTCTAGATTGTTAATTTATTTGAGATTAGTTTGTTGTTGTTATTGTTGTTGTCAACATTATAGTACCAGAGAAAACCTCAACTTAACTAGATTAAAATGAAAGATGGAATGAAAGATAAAACCTGACAGGGAGAAACTAATAATCTCACCTTCTCAAAGTCATACCTGTAGGTATCTAAATTAGTCCCCTTGGAAGTCCCTACCACCTTGGCCTTTCTTTCCTATGAACCCACTATTCGAGTTTAGGTCTTCTTCTTCCCCTGGGTTCACTGTTCTTCCTCTACGTTGCCACCAAGACCCTCCTAAGACAGCAGTCCACATGAGCAGTTCTCAAAGTGCAGGCTGGCCCTGGAGGGTACAGGAGAACCTTCCCAAAGCCAGCAAACCCAGACTGTTTCCACACAACACTAAGACACTCTTGGCTCTTTCTAGTGTCGGAGTCCACATAAGCTGGGGCTGTGGTGGAGGTTTATTACTAACTATATTCTTCCCTACTATGTGCTTGCAATGAGAAACAAAAGTAGCTTCACTTTTGAATGAAGTGGAAAAAGTAACTTTATGACATCACAGCTACAGAGTGACAGAAACATGGAAGCCTCATATTTGTATGGTGGAGATGTTCTGAAAACCTTCAACTGCACACTTAAAGCAGGATGGAGATGGAGAGAAGGCAGGAAGAGACTTGCATAATCTACAACCCCAACAAATCCTGGCTGCTCACTGACCAGACAATGTGACCCAAATGGAGAGCTCCAGGTTGAAGACTTCTCAAACAGGAAAGGTGGGGTGTGACAGACAATATTGACCTCTGCCTTGTACACCTGCATGCATGGGGGCACATACCTACACACATGCATAGTTAAACTTTCTGTTTAACAGTGCTGTGGTAGGTAAGATAACTCACGAATAAAGATTTTTTTTTAAAAAAATAGTACTTACTCCATGTGAAAGCTGCCTGTTTTACCTCACAGCTTAATCACATGAGTGCTTCAGCACAAGACATCTGATCTTTAGTAGACCATGGAAGCACTGTGTTTTTGTCACACATCTTTAAATTGTGGTACACACACACACACACACACACACACACACACACACACACACACACACACACACGAAAAATTACTGCGTATTTTTCAATGATAAAAACGAGTTTTCAAGCAAAAATGAGATTTTACAAGTTTTGGATTTGTCAGAAGCTAATATCTAAAAAGACTTTTAGTGGTGGTACATGCCTTTAATCCCAGAATTTGGAAGGTAGAGGCAGGTCTCTGTGAGTTTGAGGCCAGCTTGGTCTACATAGTGAGCTCCAGAATAGCCGGAGCTGTTTCACAGAGAAACTCTGTTTCAAAAAACAAAACAAACAAACAAACAAACAAACAAAAAACAAAAAGATTTTTCCCACTGATACCTAAAGACCTTTCTAATAAAATAATGGCCTTTTTGTGTGTTTATGTTAAGATATGTGTGATGTAAATTACTATGTTAAACACTATGTGTAAGCATATCATTCATTGGCATTGCATATACAACGGTATGCAGTCGTCACCACCATCCACACCCCAGACTCTGAGCACGTCCAACACTCACCTATTAACCAGGAACATCTACTCTGCCTCACCCACAAAATGATCTCATTCTCCTTCCATCTCTGAATCTGTTTTACCTGCTTTATTCCAGTATGATGATACAATTTATCCCTCTGTATCCAGGTCATCTCAGTAAGCACTTTTTACTTTGTTTTCAAAGTCCATCCTTGTAGCAAGGATCAAATTTCAGGGTCCAGGGGTGTGGACCAGTGGCGGAGTGATTGTCTAGTACGTCCAAGTTGTGGAGTGATTGTGTAGTACGTCCAAGTTGCTGGGTTTGATCCAAGCAATAATAAATAATAAAGCACCGGCGGCGGTGGTGGCACACGCCTTTAATCCCAGCACTTGGGAGGCAGAGCCAGGCGGATCTCTGTGAGTTCGAGGCCAGCCTGGGCTACCAAGTGAGCTCCAGGAAAGGTGCAAAGCTACGCAGAGAATCCCTGTCTCGAAAAACAAAAAAACAAATAAATAAATAATAAAGCAATCCCATTCTTTGATAGCTGAATAACATCTATACTCTGCTGTTCTGACATGACATTGTGTTTATTTAGTCATGTTGATGGACATTTGACTTTCTAACTTTTGGCAGTGAATATTGCTGCTATCAACACGGGCCTACAAATGTTTTTATAACTTCAGATAGGGCTGAGCAGAAAGCTTTTCGGCAAGGTGCTTGCTTAGAAGCATGACAGCCTGAATTCAATACCCAGAACCTGCATTTTTTAAAAAAAAAAATCAAGCAGTAGCACATGCTTATAATCCCAGTGTTGGGAGAGATGGATGAAGGTATATCCCTGGGGCTCACAAGGGAGCCATCCCAGAGTTCTAGGCAAGTTCAAGGCTAGTCAGAGACACTGTCTCACAAAAAGGTAGACAGTGCCTGAAAAACAACTAAGGCTGTCCTAACCTTGACATGAATAGAACACATTTATGAAGACCTGCATTTCACACAAACATGTACACATGTTTACCCAAATACACATAGGCATGTACATTGTCTTAGAGTTTCTATTGCTGGGAGGAAACACCTAGACCAAAAAGCAAGTTGGAAAGGAAAGGGTTAATTTGGTTTACATTTCAGCATTGCTGTTCATCACTGAAGGAAGTCAGAACAGGAACTCAAACAGGGCAGGAGCTGATGCATAGGCCATGAAAGGGTGCTGCTTACTGGCTTGCTTCCTATGGCTTGCCCAGCGCACCTTCTTATAGAACCCAGGACCACCAGCCCAGGGATGGCACCACCGACCATGGGCTGGGCCCTCCCCCAATGATCACTAAATGAGAAAATGCCTTACAGCTGGATCTCATCAAGGCATTTCCTCAACTAAGTCTTGTCCTCTGATGACTTTAGCTTGTGTCAAGTTGACACACAAAACCAGCGAGTACTTATATACACACAGAATCCCTTTGGGTAGACTCTAGGAGTAGTATGTCTAGGCCATATAGTAATTCTACATCTTGACATTTTGAGAAAATGCTGAACTCTTCAACAGAGGCTTCAGCATTTTATGTTCCACTAGCAATACAAGAAGATTCCAATTTGTATGCATCCTCACATTTTCAGAAAGTTTTTATACTTCCATAATCATCTTGGGCTACATAACAAGACAGAACAGACTTAGGTTGGCTTAAACAACAGAAATGTATTCCCTTAAATTCTAAAGGCTTTTAGAAGCCCAAAAACAGGATGGCCAGTAGAAAAGGTGTTCTGGTTCTTTTCTGTCAACTTGACCCAAACTAGCCTGGGAGGAGGGAACCTCAATTGACAAATTACCTCCATCAGGGCCTATAGGTAACTTTGTGGGGCAGGAGCCCCCAGCCCCTGGGGTATTTGAAAGCAAGCCAGTAAGCAGCAATCCTTTTTGGATCTGTTTCAGTTCCTGCCTTGAAATGCTGTCCTGACGTCACTAAGTGATGACTATCCTCACTCCGCCAAGTTAGTCTTGGTCAATGTTTTATCACAACAGAGAAGTAAACTAGGACCCTCTGAGTGGTGGCAAACACCTTTAATCTCAGAATGCAGGAGGCAGTGGGCAAACAGCATGCTCCACACAGCATGTTCCAGATTGGCCTGGGCTCCATCATGAGTTCTTATCTGAAAACCAATGGTGGGAAGAGAACCTAGTATAGTACACCAATTGTCTAGCATGCACAAGGCCTTGGGACTTGATTCTCAGCATCCTCCCATCTCCTAAAACAGAGTTGATTTCTGGTGAAACTTCTCTTGACTTGCATGTGATCACCTTCTTGCTATGTCTCATCTTCTGTTCAGGCACAAAGAAACATGCCTGATGTCTCCACATCTTCTTATAAACCTCTTTATAAGGACATATGTATTTTAGAACAGGATTCTACCCCTATGCCCTCATTTATTGCCCCCTTAAAGGCCCTATCACCAAACACACTCACATGAGAGGTTAGGGCTTCAATATATGGGTTCTGGGGTACACAATTCTATTCACTTAACCTAGTGGTATCTTGTAAGTTTCTTCTTATTTTTTTAGTTTTTGTCTAATCAAAGACTGTCACAATTCTTTTCGTGTGCTGAGTTGCCACGTGTATACCTTATCTTCTCTAGAGAAATGTCCATGTAAGTTTTTCACACATTCTAAAATCAATCTGTTCTTTCATTAAAGATGTGTTTTCATTTAATTGTGTGTGTCCATGTGTGGGCATGTGGAAATGCAGGTGACTGGAGTCCAGAAGAGAATACTAGCTCCTCTGGATCTGGAGTTATAAGCAGTTGTGTGCTGTAGGATGTCTTTCTGTATACTGTGAGAATGTGTTGCTCTGATTGGTTGATAAATAAAGCTGCCTTTTTTTTATCTTTTATTGTCTGGGCTTTTAGTATCAAACTCAAGGAAATGAAGCCAACGTCATG